ACTAGAATATTCCCTTGTGATATCATTTCTCTCCTACGAGAAGTGACCATCTCGCTCTCCCTCAGTCCATCAGTCTCTGTCTCATTCCAAAATCTCTATTCCATCGAGTTCTAGTTGGGTCCATAATACCCACACGTGCATCACACACTAGTCCCCCCACGGGTTAGTTCTTCAGTCACGTGAATATACTGTGACGTGACCTAAAGTATCTACTATGGTAAGTTACACGCGCAATACAATAATGTCAGAAAAGTATTTGTTAAGTGGTTTGGGTTGTGGTAAACGGGTATAGAGTTGAATTAAGATACCTACGGCAGTCTGGCGTTATGGAAGCACTGATGACATCCTTATCAATACTCGCTTAATTCCAATCTCATTATATACGTAACTTGTAGGCAGAGCTTTGCCCTTTAGCTTTATTACCTTTTAAATCTTGAGTTCTTGCTTGCCATAACTAGCGTGCCATAACAGTATTGGTCAAGAGTAACAAGCGTGAAGGAGCCTAGCCCAGCATCCAAAAGTCGTTACGGACGTGGGATCGTCGGGTGGCTCATGTATTTCAGATGTCCTCATGGCTAATTGTTGAACAGAATTTCCTTCTGTTTGGGTTTCATGTTAGTGAATTCATGATTATTTATTCCGGTGAATTTGCAAGGTAGTATTCACTTGAGTTATGTATCGGAGTTAGTGGAAAGCCGAGAAGAGAGACAGTATTGACCGGAGGCCGAGTCAGCTTTGAGAACTCCGATGAAAGAGGTTTAATGCCATCAGTTCCTGACATGGGGTCGGCATTGTCAAAGCATTCAAAAGTCAAGAAGTCTAGACTAAGGACAAAGGGTAAGATCGGAGTTTGGGGGACGTGATGTATATACATGGAGATGAGACATAGCTTGAGGGACACGCACAAGAACTTCTTTTCTAAAACGTCTTGACCGAGTCTATTTTATTGACACTGGTGGATTCGGAAGTATAGATTATAAGGGACTTTATTATCGATGAGTCAAATTCTGCTTTTCTTGAAGGCGGAAGGTTCTTTTACTTTTCATTCGTGGGCTTTATGGTCTTTTTTTAACCCCATTTAATGTGTATTCAGCTGTCTAGCTATGATACATGACCGGTGCTATATATACATGATGGATGAATCTTTTGACATTAGAGGCATTCATCCTCTAGATTTCATTCGCAAATACCACTACGAGGTGTCTTTGCTTACACAAATTGTCGACCCTCCTCCGTGACTACCCACCAAAGGGAAATCCAAAACCTTTGATTTTCCATGCATACCAGCGCCGCGAGAAATGTGGTCGTGTTTTGCCGGATTCGAACCAGCCATCTACTGTCTCGAGTGGGATACGTGTCCAAGCTATCCAGACTCTACTTGGCAGACCGGCCAAGACGATGTACCACCGCACCATTCAGTCATGGTGGTGTTTATAGTGACGCCTGCACTCTCGCAATCGAAGACTTGGCACACACAAAGCTCATTTTGTAAAGACTCCTTGCCAAAATTCGAAATTTCACGCCCGTCGAGCATTTCTCCATCCTCTGCATCATCTTGTAAACTTGTCCTGATCTCTCTCACGTCCATTCCAGAGAAATGTCTCCCAAATTTGTGCAACACGCTTTGTTTCCTCTGTCGGGTGTAAGAATCGGCGTGGGCGTGTATTGATGACCAGCCGAGGCCAGAGAAAGTCGATGAGAGATGTGATCATTGGAATGAGGATGTTCTAGGTCGTACTTGTAGATTTGATAAGGCTAAGGTAGGAATAAATTTCATTAGGAGTGAACGATTGATATGGTGGAGTATTTTGAATCATTGCCTCGTGGGCCAACTTGTTCGATATTGCGAAATTCGACTGAAATTGGCTCTGGGAGAATATTTCACTCCCAGGTTCGTAGAGGATACCGCGTACAGATGTTCAGTCTTGCCCTCCGGCTTTATGTTCGCCCGCCGGTTGGTGGCACACATTGTGATATAACGAGGGCTTCTCTATCTACCGTTGTAGCGTTTGGTACGGCATAATCTTTCCTCATTCCCAGCATCATTTTTGTCGTCTTCGTAGTTTAATGTGTTATTGGAAGGGTATCTTTGACGTCGGGAGGAAATAACTCAGCTCCAAGCTGAAAAGGTGTTACTCAATCTCGGCTCTGCAGACTCTACAGTGAGAGCTGGAGGTTAGTGGGAGACACCTCTGACAGGTGTTGAGAAAAGTCCCCCGCACTCCCCAACGCCCTGGATGGCACAAAAGAGGTTGGGCTAAGCTACCATTCAGCTATCACGCTCTGTCAAGACTTTTCTGACATTTCAACACAACCTCCGGGAAGGAATTGGAAGGAGGCTAGAAAGGCAGAGGGTCAATTTTCCGAGGTACCCACAAGCTTGCAGCGCCTAGCTGGCTGGCTTCTTTGAAAGCTGCAAAAGGGTCACTATTTCTTCGGACTTGGTCCTAATGTCGGTATTAGGAGAGCTCTGCAACCACTGGTTTTTGCGATCTTTCCCGACTGCCATACACCCGCAAACAGCCGCGGTTTCGATGGCTGGAGAGGGGAGACAGTGGAGGGTGAAGGGCTCTCTAAGTGTATGACAGAATGAGCACTTGTGAAGGGCGGTACTGTTTGAGGGGAGCTGTATCGGAGGCATGGGAGGGGATATACTACCGGCATTGGTATCCTTGACCTGTAGGTGGAGAGGACCTGAATGTCCTAAATTTTCATAGACTCTGACAGGACAAAAAAATTAATAAAAAATATTCCCTCAGTGCAACTCGTGTAATTAGGAGGGCAAGACTGAACACCTGTACGCGGTGTCCTCTACGAACCTGGGAGTAAAATATTCTCCCAGAGCCAAGTTCAGTCAAATTTCGCAATATCAAAGAAGTTGGCCCACGAGGCAAAAATCCAAATTACCCATCCACTTCGTTATTTCGCTCCCAACGAGTTTGACCCCTATCTTCGTCTCATCGAGTCTACAAGTACGACCAAGTACATCCTCATTCCAATGACCACACCACTCTTCGACCTTCTCTGGCCTCAGCTGGTCACCAAATACACGCCCACGCCGATATTTATACCCGCCGGAGGATGCAAGGCGTGGCGCACAAATCTGGGAGATAGCTCTTTGGGATGGACGTGAGAGGGATCAGGACAAGTTTACTAGATGATGCGAGGGACGGATATAACCTCGAAGGGCATGAGATTCCGAATTTTGGCAAGGAGTTTTACGAATTAAGCTTGGTGCGCGCCAAGACTTCGCTTGCGAGAGTGCAGTTGACACTATAAAAACAAGCAAACGATGGAAGGTGTTGTGGTCCGCCTCCTGGTGGTGTTCTCTAGTATGGTTTGAGTAGCCTGGGCACCTACTCCACTTGGGAAGGAGACACCTCAGATCACATATCGCGCGGAGAAAAGTTGAAAGATGATGGAGGCATGTCTGGATAACTCAGGGTTTTTGAGACGTTCCCCTGGGTGGGTATTCACGGATGAGGGTTGACTTGGGGTGAAGAAAAAGCCACCATAACTTCGCAGTGGTACTTGCAAATGAAATCTGAGGCATGAGTGCTCTTCCTTAACGATGAATCATCTATTCTGTACTTTTCTTTGATATTGTGTCATAGCTAGATAGCTGCATATGCAATTAAAATCTGATGCAAAAAAAAAAAAAAAAAATTTGTGTAATTCTAGCAATCCACGTGGGACGGAACGTAGTCACTATTCCGGTCCAACGCGTGCCTCACAACAAGACGTAAATAAACACTAGTGCGAATCTGGAACGCAGCATATGTTCACACAGATTAGAAGACGGGAAGAACGACAATGACCTCTAGAGGAACACCTATCAGTATCCATAAAAACCTCAACAGGGCCCTAAGCAGCATAGCCATGCAGTTAAGGAGTAAGCACATTGGGTTCAATTCTTACCTGCACAAAAGACATGTTCCCGGAGTAGACAGCCCACGATGCCAATGTGGATATCCGTCCCAGAACATCAAACACATGATCATGGCCTGTCCAGACTGGGCTACAGGGAGAGGGGAGATACTGAGAAAGGCAGAGAATTGGTCATTCGAAGCGATGCTTAATTATCCGAAAGATATGGCTAGAATTACAAAGTGGATACAAAAGGAAGGAAGGCTAGAGCAGTTTCGACTAACGCTTGAAGTCGAAGCCATGATGAGTGAGAGAGAGGGCAGTAGGAGGAATTGATCTCCTGCCATAAATAAGGGAGTGGACGGTATCCGCACTGGATATAACAGCATTAGTGCACTTCTTGAAGGTAACACAACTTTAAAAGTGTATATAAATTGAAAAGTTGAGGGGGTTTTTACCATAAAGGATTCCTCCTACAAAAATATTAGAGTTCGTAGACATCTGCTTGGGCCTTAAGGCGCCAAACCGGGCTAAATGAAATCAAATTCAAAAAAACAATAGTGCGTATATTCCATACCATTTTTTCCAGCACGTTTAATGACCAAGTGCATTTAGTTCTGAGCTTGTCTATCAAACTTATTTTTCAAGCGTATTATGTCTGCGTGGGCGATTTGTGAGCCCACGCAGGCCGTTTGAGTAAAGGTCAATGGGACTTCAAGTTCTTTATTTGACATGACCTATTCCACTCTAGGCCAATTTATCTCATCTAATTTTGTAAGAACCACTCAACCCCTCGATTGAGGCAAACATAAATACAAACACAAATTATTACTGTTACACTCATTCGTGGGAGTTGCTAGCAACATATCATACATTATCATATAGATCTCACAGCTGGTATTCTGATCTAAATATCGCTACTCCATTTCTTAAGGTACATTTCGAGCAGCTAAGCAAGCCTGTTAATTTTTAAACTCCGGTCCCGTCGTTAAAATGAAAGAAATACTGAAAGAGCAGCGTAATCTTGCTTATAATTAGACATACTCATGTCGGAACACTCTAAAGTTATACTTGTGACTTTCCCTTACGCCGTAACTAGGAAATTTTGTTGCCTCGTTTCTCTATACATTAGCTTAATCGCTTCTTAGCATGCTGTCGACAAGGTCTCCCAGAGGACCCCAAAAATCCTTGCCAGTGGCCAAATGATGTTCGTCGATGAATAAAACATAGTGCTTGAAGCTAGTATTCAAATGAGCTTCAAGGCCAAGTTGGCGTATTACAGAATAGTGATGACAGTATATGTGGGCGTATACTCTATACATTCTCTTAAAAACTTGTCGAACCATATTTGGAAATGATTTTGGGAAAGGTACACCTGTATCTTAATTTAGTGAACCTGTAAAGCGCGTATCTCAAATATTACACACCTATCCTACTAGGAAAAATGCTCTCATTGTCAATAATAGCCTGTGCCCAACTCATCAGATGCTCAATATATGCTGGAGCTGACATTTTGGTCGGTCGTTTGAAGTTTTCAGAGTCTTGCCAGAGATATTCAAATCTATCATGTTAGCTCAAACGCGGAAGTTCCAATACTGCTCTTACTCGTCGGTAGCTTTCATTTCGGGGCAAGATTGTGGCGAGCAGAATTCAGTTATTGAGCCGTAGAGTAAGTTGATGTGATTATAAAAATCAACCACTAAACAAGTTCAACTGGAGTTATGGAAAATTGAGACTGTACTTACTGTTTACGGCCAGCCATTCATTCTCGTCTTCACCCTCTGGTAACTTTACGACCTTTCGTAGACTACCTCCACCTAGAGTAGCTTCTGCGTATTGCCTTAGTTGATGACTTGAAGAACCTTTAGCAACATTTCGAGGACGAAATTGATTTCGAGTTCGTTGATTTCTATCGAAAGGTTCATGTTAGAGGGATTTATAAAGAACAAAATGACAAGAATTGCATATCAGATCTAGCGATCAATTGCCATATGGTTCAAGCATGGGCAGTTTAGTCTTTCGATGAGAAAAATAATGTCGATGTCATTATGATGCTTGATTGTAGAAGCTTACACGGTGGGGATAAATGCTGTCATTCTGGCCGCTGAATTGAGTGCACAAAGTTACTTTTATATTTCAGTAGTTCGACAATAAATCACAGATGACGTTGGATAGCAGCGCACAATATACAGGTGAGACTCAAAACCGGTATTCAAGTTTTTGCTGATAACGACGCATACTCCCAAGATAGAGGGCAATTAATTAAATCTGAGATATGAAGATGTCACCAAGTTCTCAAGGTCTGGTTGGCCGGAGAACTGGATACTTTTGAATGAAAGATCAATAAAGCAGATGTAGTGGTGCTGGCCAAGGTTACCACTGCTTCACGGCAAGCAATCAGCATGGCGAGTAGTCCAGAAACTCCTGAGTTAACATTACCCCGCTTATTACTACGCAAACACCTGGCGGTAGGATCGAGTCGTGGAAATTTTGCAGGATAGCAATATCGCTTCCATCGTTAAGCCCCGCAGACCCTTTAAACATTACAGGGCGTAGCAGCGCCTTGCCCATTCCGGGCACCAATCGCTATTACCAATTTTTGCTAAAGCTTCTAATAGTGTTATACCATGAAATGCTGGAAAAGACTATTTCTTCACCTTACAGCTGTGCCTGTGTAATCCCTCAGTATGCTCTGCATCTCTGGGATAGCCAAGAAGAATCGCATCCGAATCGAAGTCGGAAACAAACACGAGCATATCTCCATTTGGCGACTTCTCAATCATACAGTACTTACCATTCTTATCTGAGTCATCAACCTCTTTCTAACCACGCATCATCTCGCCTCAACGACCAATAAAAGAGCTACTCTAATTGTAATTGGGATCTTGCCCCATTAATTACCAGTCAAGTCCCACTACATATCTACGACGCTGTTTATACTGGCAAGGAGGAAACCAAGTCGAAAAATACAAAGCCTGGGTCTTGGTTTGTGGGGCACTGTTGCTCTAATGGGACAAACAACTTGAGGGAGAACAGGCGGCCGAGATGTGGAGCGAGAGGGGAACAGGTCTCTGAATACCATTCTGGGACAGACATATTCAGGGGGTTTTCAACTTTGGAACGTTTGTGGACGTCAAGACCGAAATTTCGGCTAATCAGCCAGGAGGGCTTCAATTGTCAATGAGTCAACGGCACTCCCCAGCGCCCTGGACGGCACAATAAAAGTTGGGCTAAGCTACCATACAGCTATCACGCTCTGTCAAGACTTTTTTGACATTTCAGCACGACCTTCGGGAAGGAGTTGGAAGGAGGCTAGAAAGGCAGGGGGTGAATTTTCCGAGGTACCCACAAGCCTGCAGCGCCCAGCTGGCCGGCCTCTTCAAACGCTTCTGAGGGGTCACTATTTCTTCGGACTTAGTCCTAATGTCGGTATTAGGAGAGCTCTGCAACTACTAGTTTTTGCGATCTTTCCCGACTGCCATACACCCGCAAACGGCCATCGTCGTGTTAGCTGGACAGGAGAGATAATGAAGGAAAAAGGGCTCTTCTAAGTGTATGATCGAATGAGGACTCGTGGGGGGCGACACCATCCGAGGGGAGCTGTATGGGAGGCACAGGAGTAGAGATACTACTGGCATAGGTATCCTTGGCCTGTAGGCAGAGAGGACCTGTATGTCCCACATAGTCATAGACTCAGATAGGACAATAAAATGGATTAATTAAAACATCATGTTAAACCTATACTTAAACTTTTCCGACTCATAAGTAAGGGAGAATTCAAAAACTTACACGGGGAATCGAGTATTTCTAACGACACAACTGTAAAATATTCTACAGCTGGGTTCGGGCTTGCCGCTAATTAGATGGCTGCGCGGTAACTACTGGTATCGGATACATCTGCTTGACTCATTTTAAAAATTAAATCTGATATTAATATTCCTTCTACCATATCCTAATCTGTACGCAGTAAACTGATATGAGCAAACTATAGAGGCGCGCTTCACCTATCAACTCATGACAGCTATAAATACCTAACTATAAAATTGATGTCTAGGCACCAGCTTCGGAATCTAAAATAAATAGATCATTGTCCTATCATAGGGCAATATCGAATGATTCTTAAGCTACCTGATGAAAACATTGCCTAAATGCCCAAATTCATGTCACCAAGAAAATTATATTTCTCGGAACATCGACTCAACATCTATTGACGGTATCCCTTACGAGTGTATGGTTTCCAACGTAGAATGTGAAAGTCCAAGAATGAGACTGACGCTAACAGGGAGGATTTCTGCTGTCACTGTGTCTACGGCATTATGAACTATCCAAGACGGTACAAAGTGACTGGGCCAAGTGCCATATTACTTCAAGTATGCTTCATTGATCTGGTTCTAATAATCATGACAATCTGACTGCGATAGGGGAAGTTCTATTTACCGCGTTAGGATTCTCGTCAGGATCTTCAAACATATAACGGGGATGAGAGGGATTCTACGTCAGAGTGGTCTGTGATGTGATTATTACAATTGTTTTACATGTATCTCTACTCATCCGTACGAATAAAGGCATAAATACAGGTGATTCTAAGCCCTGCATAGCCATCATTTTAATCAGCTATAGGAGTTCGGCTTCTAATAATAGTGTATGTTGGATGAGAATAGGAATAGAATGAGATAGATGTGCCACTACTGAATGTTACGTGCTGACACTAAAATACTATATGGTGGGTATTTTGAATTTGATTTCATTTAGCCCGATTTGGCGCCCTATGGGGTCATGCAGGTGTCTACGAACTCTAATATTTACATAGGAGGAAACCTTGAAGTAAAAACCCCCTTAGCTATCTGATTGGACTCTACGCCATTATAGTCAAACCTCTAGAAAGTGCACTCACACTGTTGTTGCCAGTGTGGATTCCGTCCTTGTCCTGTGTTTCCATTATCCTCTCTTCGCCTGATTAACGCCTCGATTTCCCCGGTCATCCGAAACTGCTCTAGCCATACTTCCTTTTGAGTCCACTGTGCAATTCTAGTCATATCTTTGACGTTATTTACCATAGCTTCGAAAGATCGGGTTGTCGATTTCCGTACTAACTCACTTCTTCCCTTTGCCTATCTTGGACAAGACATCACCATGTGCTTTATATTTTGGGATGGATATCCACATTGGCAGCATGGTTTTCCTACTCCTGGCACATTCCTTCTGTATAAGTGAGCATTAATCCTAATGTGCTCGCTTCTTACTTGTGTTGCAATGCTGCTCTGGGCTCTGCTAAGGTTTTGCATGGTGGGTACCTAATACGTATATTGTCAAGTGAAGGGGGATCTGGCTCACAGATATGGGGCTGCTTTTAGATAGTCACGGAGCTCTGGCTTAGTGGAAGCAATGACAATATTTTTCATTACTACTAGCTCACTTATATTACTTTTATTATTAATTCATTTTATAGACCTATCTGTGTCTATGACTATGTGGGAGGGGGACTATTCTCAACAACTGTCAGTGGTGTCCCCTACGAACCTTCAGCTCTCACTGTAGAGTCTTCAGAGCCGAGATTGAGTGACACTGTCCTCACTTCGATGAGGACTCCCGATCGCTTTCTCGCTCCAAATCGACATACCTATCAGTCTACCGAGTGTTGCCAGGAAATATCTTCAATGGCCCCCAATCGCAGAGTAGGAAATATGTCGCGCATGCTATCACGTCTTAAAAGGAAATGTTTAGACTGTCCTGTGCAGCTATTGATGGTGACATGAATTAAGATGATGATGTTGATTGAGATAGATTTCTATATATTTTATTATACAAGATATCCTCCGACTCATATATCTCGAGTCAAGCAACTAGATCATGTTCTCACCAGATCTAGAATCATCAGAATTATTACTTACTCAGTAAAATTCTCCTAGTCTCAGTTGTGTGTTTAGTATCTAAACTAGGCTTCTAATAACAAACAATGATGTTTCTCCTATCACTAAGACATATTCATGGTTGATACAACAAGTACAAATGATGAATATAGTGTCATAGCTAGTTAGGCTGCATACACTCAATGATTAAAAAAAAAAAAAAAAATGATGAATAGTGCCTGTACATGAATTTATGATATATTCATAATCGTCTGCACAATATCAACTCATGAATAAATCATGTCTCCACATGACACGTCTCTTCTACAACCCCTAGACCTGTAAAGGGTTTAAAGAATTCAAAAGTACTTGAAAGACGTTAACTCAATAGGAATTGATATTTTTTCCTTAGGAAGCTAATCTGCCTACGACGGCTCCTGTCCTTTATGTCCTCCTCAGCGTCGCGTTTAAGCTCCCCTCCTAGCCTACCTGAGAATACTCCATTCTCCCCGGCTACCCTCTTTCCTGTGACATCCTCCCCCCCTTAGTACGTACTCCCTTGGGTCCTTCCTCATGCGCAACCTTGCAATTATCCTTATGCAACACTGGGACTCGTTCTTGTGCGCAACCTTGCATTAATCCTTATGCGACACTTAGATCCTTCTTTGTGCGTATCCTTGCATTCTTTCCCATGCAACCTTTCGCGTCTCTGTAAGCGCTGCTTCGTTGGCGCTTAAAGATCTAGCCGGGTTGGTCCTAGTGACCAGTCCTAATCCGGGCACAGCCCGTAACAAGACCCGACGAAACAACCCCATACTCTCTACGTCGCGCATGGCCGGTAATTGGCAACAGTGTTTCAATTCTCCTTCGCCAGTGCGATAAGCTAGGAATCCATCCCTAAGCTTTCAAAAAGTCCAAAATAACTATCCTCCCGAAATAAGGAAATCGAGATTTTGCCCTCCCAAACTCCTACACACCGATTGCTCTACTTTCATGCCTAGGTTAAGGCTCCGAGCGATTAACAGCGCGTCAACTTTTATTCACAGCCCCAAAATATCGAGTACTCGCCAAAGATCAATGTAGTGCCATCCATCTCTGCTCCACTGATGACCTTTCCACAGCTCTCGCCTGTGATGTCCGGACAAAACGGATTGAAAAGAAAGTAGTCGGTAAGTGACTGTTGACGTTCAGGGGGCATTTGACGGTGTTAAAAAAGGCCGACTCTACCATAGACTTAGGAGCTAAGG